TCTCTCTGTTTCTTGCTCTCTCTCTCTCTCTTTCTCTCTCTTTCTCCTATCAGTCACAGTCCAACATCGTCGTCTGCATCGCCAACCATCACCAAAACATATCGTCCATTTCGTCATCCACATCATCATCCATCACCCCTTCGCCATCATTCATTCCATCATCCCATGACCTGCACAAGGGGCTAATATGCGAAAAGGAAGGGCAACATGCACTGCCATGGTCATGTCTAGACCGCGCTACAGACATGAACATGGTCAGGTTTGAACATGGGCCTCGAGAGGTCTGACTTGGGAGAGTTGGCTAGTAATGTATTGTGCGCCGGTCCTTATTCATTTAAGAGCAGGCGGAGGCGAAAATGCCCTGCTTCAGAAGCATCGACGAAGTCCTTGTTCCACATTTGCCGCGTTTGCTCGTCCAGTGGACCAGCTCGTCTAGCTCAGGAAGACGAGGTCTTCGCCGACGAATTAGCAGACCTAAATATGCATGCGGTTCGCCGCCCTGGAAGACGGGCTTGACGGTGCCAGCGCCATGCGAATTTCGATCAGTACTCTGTCAAACTTGTCAGCCGCGATTACCGCGGATACTTCGGACCGAGGGTATACGTAAGAGCGTAAGGGTAGCCGTTCTGCTTGATCTTCCTAATCCTGTTTCGCATTCCCCATCTTCCAATAGTCAGATGTATAACCTTATTTGGGTATGGCGGTCACCAGACGCTCCTGGCTGATCGCGGATCTTGAAACACGTCCGCCACCAGTGTGAAAGCAGGGGCGCCGAGTTTACGAGGACTGGCGGAGGAAGAGGATGGGGATGTACTCTATTGATGGCATTGGCGATGTTCAGGCCAGCCGATCTAGGCGGTCAGAGGTGTCCGTGCATCAGCAAGTGGCCCAGGACGCAAAGCCAACCTCAAGTTATGGGTTGGGATTTCTTGGGGCCGCGCGTTGACAAAGACATATCTCAGGACGTCTCGGCCCCCGGTGCCCACATTCCGGCCCCGAGCGGGGCAGACACCGCATGCGAAACAGCACCCCCTCATGTCCGCGCGAGGCTCGGCGAGTACGGTGGGTGTTGTCACGCCAGGGTGCGGCTTGCGATCGGCGCCGCCAAGGCTTCGGGGCCACCACGTTGCGCCGAAAGTTCGGCGAGCCCGCGTCGCGGCGCGGAAGAGATCTGAGTCAAGGTCTTCTCCCGCCCCTCCTCGGGCGCGGGCTGCAGGCCACACCTTTTGCAGACCACACCTCTCGGAGTCGCCGACAAGCGGCCAGGCCCCTCTCTGCACGGCACCTCGCCGGGCCCCCCCCCGGCGCGCAGGCCCGGCTCCCCCGACGAGCTGTGCGGCATCTTCGCCCCCGCAAGGGGCTCGCGCCTGCGGGATGCCAACAAGGTTGCGCCGGGGTGGTGTTAGGGGGTCACATGCGAACCCTACCCCTACCCCCCACGATTTCTGAGGCGAAGTGCACCCCACCCTCCCCCTCAGAAATCGTGGGGGGTAGGGGTAGGGTTCGCATGTGGCCCCCGAGGTGTGAGGAGGGGGGGGGAGGCAACCCTGGGGGGCGGGCTGGTGACAGGCTCAAGGGGGAAAGATGCATCGATGCAGAGTCGCCCACACTTGGGGGCCTCGCAGCCCACCCCGCCAAGGAGCGTGTGGATGTGCTGTCGTGGGCCAGTCGCCGACCCATCGGCGATGCCTCGCCGATTCCAGCTCGATGTCCCCCCCCCCCACTGAGCCGGTCCCCCCCCGATGTTCCCCCTCGGCCACGCCGCGGAGCAGAGGGCCCGCACCACCAGGGGGGGGGGCCTTCGCTGGCCCCTCGCGGTGGCGGTGGCGGTGGCGGTCTCGGTCGATGCTGTCGTCGCCTCCTCTCCGTCATCATTTGCTTCACCCTCTGTCTCAATCCCCCATCCCGCCATCGCACTTTTCTGCCTTTTTCGATCGTCTCCAGTCGTGGCAACGCATCAAGACCCCTTCCGTGACACAAGGGTCCTTCAAACAGCCCTTCTGTCACAGAAGGGGGGTCCAAAGAGCCAAAGGTCCCTTAATCAAGGCGTTTGGATTAGTGTTTGCTCTGCACCTGGAGGAAGGCGAGGGACACCCAGGCATTTGGCGGCTCGAAAGATCGGGACGGCCAGCTCTGACGGTGGGGGCGTTCGCTGAGGAAGGCGCCCAGGAAGATCAGACCCAGGAGGATTTCTGACGAGGGCGGCGGTGATATCCATGGCCAACCCACGAGTGGGGCCCCTCGGGCTTCCAGACCCCGGATTCCTTATCCAGTGGTTCCTTACTCAATGCCTTCACCGTAATGTTGGGCATGTGGAGGCTGGCGTCGGGCCCCCAGGATGATCAAAGCACGAACGCCAGCCCCAGGGAGGAGGTCCAGGGGCCCAGGGTGACCGCGTGTCCTCGGAAGGGCCGCGCCGCCGGACGTCGAAGAAGGCGAGGCGCCGGATTCCAGGGGGGGACAGGTTCGGGGGGTCTTGGTTTAAGTCGGGCCTGTCCCCCTACAAGGGGATTTTCGACGAAGAATGAAACATACCCAAAAATAGTCCAAAAATAGTCGGGGGACTATTTCTTGAGTATTCTTCGACCTTTTCGGGGTATTTTTGGGGTATCTTTTTATTTTTCGTCGAAACTCCCCCTGTAGGGGCACAGGTCCGACATAAGTCTTGGTGGCTTTCGGGCCCCATGCTGTTCTCCGTCCGTCGGAAGCCTTCGGGGGTGTGGGGCTGAGGTCGTCCCGAGCGGTCGCCTGATTCGGGCCTCTGCGGGTGGCCAGTACACCACACCAGCGGACTGGGAGGAGGAGGAGGAGGAGGAGGAGGGGGAGGAGGAGGAGAAGGAGAAGGAGGAGGAGGAGGAGGGGGAGGAGGAGGAGGAGGAGGAGGATTGTGATGTTGTTATTGTTGCCTTTCGTGAGCATCCTGGGGCCCCTCGTCGTCACCGCCTTGTTTGAGTCGAGGTCCTGGTCGGAGGACGTTTCAGGCTAGGTCCGGGGGGGGGGAGATTTTACGGGGAGGGGAAGTGTAACACGCTGACTTTAGGTCGTCGTGCACAGATCACGGCGGTCATTTTCGCCACGTCTCGGCATGTGGGGGATTTGCGGATCAGTTTAGAAGACAGTGTCGAGAGTTCCGATCGTATATTTCTTGTGTTTGCGACATGGCGTCGGACCTCAGGGGGGAGGAGGGAGATTAGAGGAGGAGGAGGAGGAGGAGGAGGAGGAGAGGAGGAGGAGGAGGAGGAATAAGAGGAGGAGGAGGAGGAGGAGGAGGAGGAGGAGGAGGCGGAGCCAGGGAGCAGGAGGCCAGGGAGCAGGACGCAGGCATCTGCACCCAGCGCGCCCCGGCGCGAAATGTCCGTGGAGTGCATTCCGTGCTGCCTGGTCGCTCGCCAGGACCTCGAGGGGAGCCAAATTAACCATGCTCTTCTTGGCTACTGTAGTCGTCGTCGTCATCGTCTTCCTCCTCCACCTCTTCTCCATCCTTCCTCCATCCTCCCTCCCCCCCTCCTCTTCTCCTACTCTCCCTTTTTCTCGTCATCCTCCTCTGCTCCATCCTCCTCTCCGTCCTATCGTCCTTATGCAGTCCCTCTCCTCCTCCTCCTCCTCCTCCTCCTCCTCCTCCTCTTCCTCCTCTTCCTCCTCCTCCTCCTCCTCCTCCTCCTTGTCCTCCTCCGCCTCATTCCGTAGCCATTTTGGCTCGAAATGTTCTACTTGGGGGCTCTGAGCCCCGAGGCAGAAAGGGATACCGCTGGACCGCGGCTCGACCATCGCCAATTTGTGCAGCCTGAGTCGAGCTGCGCGCTGCTCATGCCAAGAGTGTTCGTCAGGGGGCCAGGTCTCCCAAGATGGTCCTTCCGCCTGTGCACCAGCGGAAATGGTTCTACAAGTCGTGTAAGCACGAACCCTCAGGCAAGCAGTTCCTCAAGTTCGCAGAGAACAAGAAGTGCCATATGTGCAAGCGCTCGAAGTGCACATGCTTCGGATGCTACGTGCAGGCCAAGGAGCCCTCCGTCTCTTCGGGGCGCAAAGGGCAAGCCAGCGGTGAACCGGCCCCGTGAGTCAAATCTGTGGACGTCGCGAAGCTGGCCGCGCAGGTCAAGTCGGTCGAGGCCAAGCTGGCCAAGGCCAGCGCGAACACCAGCCAGCAGCGGCCCGAGGTCTTCGATGTTGACCTGGGGTGCGAAGGCGTGGCCGACAGGGACCGCTTGGCCACCATCGACCGCGAGCTCTCCTCCGTTGTAGGTCCGTCGGCGAACGGTGGTAGATGATCGGCGACGACCTCCAGCAGGAAAAGCAGCCGCTTGAGAACAAGATGCTGTCCGAAGAGCCCTACTGCAAGCGGCTGCGGGCTTTCCTCGTATGGGTGGACGAGGCCGAGACGAAGCTGGTCAAGCCTAAGAAGCATCAGGAGGCCAGCAGTAAGCGGCTCGCCGACACGCAGTCGGCGCTGCAGGAGGCCGACAAGCGTGTCCTGGAGCAGGAGACCGAGCTCGGCCGCCTCAAGGCCCAGCTGATGGAGCTGGCTGCGCAGGGCATGGCCCAAGGCGTTCAGCTCGAGCCTTCAACGGCTGCGGCAGTGTCGGCTCCCATGCTCCGGCTCGACGCGGCCAAAGTCAAGGGCATCCTGGAGCAGGGCCTCGATCAACTCGGCGTGCAAGTGCCCGACCTTACGCATTTCGCGCAGGCCCTCTGCGAACAAATTCCCAGCTGCACCTCGCAGGTCATTGTGCGCATCCAGGCCCCTGCGGCGCTGGTGGGTCCCGCGCCTGAGACGCTGGTGTGCCCTGGGGCTGGCGATGCGGCTACGGCGCCGATCCCCGTTGAGCGGGTGCGAGCGGAGATCTCCATGGGCGGGGTCGACGTCCCAAGCACCGAGGAGGAGGCCAGGCTCTTGCACCGCCAGCTGCGTGCAGCCTTCGGCAGGCCTTCGAAAGTTGAAGCCAGTACCTCCAGCTTCAAGCCGATGTAAGACGCTCCTGTCCTCAGTCATTATCGGCATCATGGCGTCCTTCTTCATGTTTCAAGCTGATTGGGGCCTGGCCTGCGAGGTCCTTTCGGGCGTCGACGCTGCTGCGGCTGCCGCGCGTGCTCATCGGCGGCGTCAGCTTTGTCAGCATGCTGAGGACGCCAGCAGGCCACTGGCGGCGGCAAGGGCCGGTGACCTTGCGCGGCCAGCAGAGGGCGCCGGCAGGTCACCGATCGCGGTGAGGGCTGGTGACCTTGGGCAGGCTGCTGCATGAGGACGCTGGCAGGTCACCGGCGGTTGCGCAGGCCGGTGACCTTGCGCGGCTTGCAGAGGGCGCCGGCCGGTCACCGATGGCATCTCTGGCCATTGACCTGGTGCAGCCTGCCGAGGACGCCGGCAGATCACCGGCGGCTGCGCGGGCCGGTGACCTTGCGCGGCTTGCAGAGGGCTCCAGCAGGTCACCGGTGGCGGCGCGGGTCGGTGACCTTGGGCAGCTTGCTAAGGACGCTGGCAGGTCGCAGGAGGACGCCGACACCGAGCTGCAGCGCTCGCGCCTCCAGCTGGACCAGCTGGTGCCGCAAGTCGAGCTCTTCGGCAAGGACTCGCTGGTCGCCGGCGCGATCAATGGCGACACCTGGTCAGGAGCTCGCACGGTGGCGGAGTGGCTGCAGGCGGGCCGCGGACTCCCCGATGTTCTGTTCGCGCAGGAGACCCGCTTCGTCGATGGTGCGACAGCGGGGAACGCTCTGCGCGGGAGCGCCTTGGTCGGCCGTCCTGTGGCCCGCAGCGCAGCGCACAGGCGCAGGCCGTCTCGCGGTCTCCTCGGGCGTCGGGGCGATGGTGGCCAACCGCGCGCGGAGCAGTGGGCCCCTCGCTTCCAGCTCAGGCGAGCACATCTCGGAGGCGGTGCGTCGGTCATCGCGGCCTCCATCTACATGGTCACTTCCATCGGCATGGCGGGGGGAACCTGGAATTGCTGGAGCACGGCAGCTCCGTCCTCGGCCAGTTCGGCGAGCCGTTCTTGATAGGAGGGGGCTGGAACGTTTGCCCAGAGTCTCTCCTGGAGCCCCGGTGGGTCGACCAGGTTGGCGGAGTGGTTCTCGCGGCGGCCCCACCTGCGGCGATTCGGGGCACGACTACATCGTGGCCTCGTCGTCCTCAGGCCAGCGGGCGTCGCAGCCGCAGGTCCTGGAGTCGGCGACGTGCAGGGCCCGCGCCAACGTGGAGATGCAGCCGAAGGACTTCTGGCACGCGGCCCCGGTCTAGGTGGAGGGCCCGCGCAGGGCCTTCCCACTGCCGACGCACAAGGAGGAATTCCTTCCGCTCCAGCGGGCTGCCCCGGCGACGGCGGCCGAGGTTGCGCTCGCGGCCGCCCCGGTGGGCGATTCGCAGGATGTCTGCGCTCTGTGGTTAGATGTGGCTGAGCGCCAACTCGTGGCCAAGCTGGAGCAGGAGTCGACCTCGGCGCGCCACTGCCCGAGCAGGGGCCTCGGCGTCGAGCTCGCTCAGAAGCCCCCGATGGCCCTCCACTTGTCCCGCCAGCGCAGGCTCGACACTTCGTCGACGAAAGCTTGGCGGGGCCTGCTGCGCGGCCGGCGCGGCCTCCGGCGCTGATAGCTCCCGAAGCCAGGCTCCAATGCCAGGCGGGCGAGCAGGCGAGATCGCCCCGCACGGCAGGCGGCCGCGCTGCAGCTGGAGCCAGCCATCTCTGAGGCACCGTCGCTGCAGAAGTGCGCGCTGGACGATTGGCTCGGGCTCGCCACTCGAGCGAGCCCCCTCTGCGATTGGTTCGACGGAGTCATGGAGGGCGAGGTGGCCCAGCGCTGTCGGCAAGATGCGGCCGCCCGCGCGAAGGATTGGAAATCCTTCTGCGCCGCCGCCCTCGGCGGATCTGGGCGCGTCGCGCGCCGCGCGATCAAGGGGCGCGGGGCAAAAGCCCCGCCAGTTGCGCAGTCTGGGGGCGAAACGGGTCTCGGCCAGGTGGGCTCAGCGGCCGCGGAGGCGATCCTCGACGAGCGGCTGGCGATCTGGGACAAGCCGTCGCGGTCGTCGGAGCCCCCAGCTGAAGAATGGAGCGACCCCGCCCCCCTGCCCCCCACCGCCGTCGACCAGATGCTGGAGGTGGCCAGGGGGCCCCAGAAGGTCACGGGCCTCGGGTGGGACAACTTCCACCCGATGGGGCCTGTTGCCGTCGAATGCCGAGCCGCGGCAAGCCTTCGTCAACATGTTGAATTTCTAGGGGGCGCGCCCCAGCACGCCCCACTTTAGGCCCGCCATGATGGTCTTTTTGCCGAAACCGCCGTCCCAGTTAGACCGCCGCCCCATTGGGCCCTTCTGCGCGCGGGGCCGCGCCTGGAGCCAGCCAGGTGCGAAGCAGGGGGTCCAGAAGTGGGAGCTGGCCGTCGACCAGCGTCTCTGCTGGGGCAAGAGTTCGGACGCGGCGGCGGATCGCGCAGCGTGCGCCCACAACTTGCCAGCGGTGCACGCTCGCAGGCGGGGCATGAGCAGCGGTTCTGTCTTTTTCGACACTCGTTGATTTTACGAGAACGCGTTGCACGGAGCACTCACGGAGTGCGCCCAGCACTTCGGCTTCAATGCTGGCCTCCCCCGCCCCCTGTGCCCCCTCTGCCGCGGGCCGCGCCGCGTCCGCTGGCCGGCCGCCCCTTTTCGTTCCATCCGCCCCAACGGCGCAGTCGTTGCAGGGTGTTCTTGCGCAACAGGAGTTGTCGAGCTGCTGACCCTTCGCGTTTTGAAAGAAGTCCAGGACCCGGCTTGCCGTTCGGTCGACGTCGTTGACGACGCCAAGCTGCGCGCGGTCGGCGGCGCCAGGACGGTGGCCGAGCAGTTTGCGCGGGCGGCCAGGGTGATAATGGGAGCCCTGCAGCAGCTGGATCTCCCATTCAACGTCAGCAAGACGTGTTGGATGGCGGCAAATAACCAACTGTTGGACGCTCTAGTGGGGGGCCCTTCCCGGCCGCTTGGGCGCGAGCTTCTATCCGACTCTCACCGGGGCTTGGGCGGAGATGCAGGTGGCGGCAGCCATCGCAGCCTGCCCGTTCGAGGGTAGCCAGTGCTCTCGCCACCTCCGCCCGCCTTCGCGACCTCGGCCAGGGGCGCGAAGCCTTCCGAGTTTTTCGGGCCGGCCCCGCTGCGAAGGCGGCGTGGGGCGCAACCGCCCAGGGGCTGGCCAGCGCGTCGCTTCGCGCGCTTCGCGTCGCGGCGGCCAGGGGCACAGGGCCTGTGCAACCAGGCTCGATTCGCTCTCTTGTTTAGCGCATAGTGGTGCAGCGGCCCCTTGGCGCGCGCGCTGCAGTTTCGGCGGCCAAGTGCTTCGCGGCAGTCTGGCGGGTTGCAGGGCGCCTTCGATGATGCCATCGTTGCCGTCGCCACAAACACACGTCCATGGGGCGCGGTCAAGCAGCCAGTGGCCACCACCACCCCCCTCACCCTTCGGCGGATTGGATGGGGCCTTGACGTTGCTGGGGGCGCCTTCGCCGACAGATCGGGCAGGCGGCGGTCGCTCGACCGCTTTTCGCCAGAGTTTTGTTGCATTGCGCCGCGAGCGGGAGTGCTGGGGCGCAGTGGTGGCCGATCAAGTGGGTCGTCAGTCGCCCGCCGGCGAATGGTCAGGCCCCATCTGCCCCCGCCCCGCCGTCTGTTTGCTTCTTAGAAAAACAACGGATGGCTGGGCCAGCCACCGCAGACATGTGTTTCGGGGACTCCTGGCCAATCGTTGCTGGCGCCTAGAGCGCTTCGCGGCGAAATTCTAATATTTTCGCCCTGAATGCCTTCATTACGGGGCCAGAGGCAGCCTGTTCCACTGGGGGTTTGGCGGCTTGGCGTCGAGACGAGATCTCCCCCGCCGTCTCGAGGGCGGCGGCATGCGTGGCCCGTCTCGGTCCCAGCCAGGGCCCAGGAGTTTTTCGCCCGGAGGCTGTTCCCCGACCCTGCGGCTTTGTTCCTCCGCAGCGTTCCCGACCCCTCCTCGCGCAACCTCCGCAGGCATAATTGGCGCCAGGGTGGGTTGTTCTTGGGGCCCGAGGTCCATGTCTTCACCGACGGGTCGGCCTTCGAAGGCTCGGTTCCGTTTTGGGAGGTGGCGGGATGGTCGGCGGCGGTCACGGATGGCGATGGGAATGTGCTCAACGTGCTCTGGTGGGCGGCGCCGCTGAGGCGCCCCTTCAGGCGGCGAGAGACGGCGAAGATGTCGCCGTCCATATAATCGCCCGCCACGCAGTGCTTGCGGAAGGGTGCCACATGCATATCGATTGCGCCAGCACCGCAGCTCGCGCGTCGGACCTTCGGGCCGCCTCGAGCCCGTGCAACCCTCGGGCCCATTGGTGGGCGCAGGTCCACGACAAGCTGGACGGCGCGGTTGTCCATGAAGCGCCCGCCCACTGCAGCGCCACTGATGTGGCTGGCGGGCAGCTGACTCGTTCAGTGGCTCGGCAACCAGGTGGCTGACAGAAATGCTCGTTGCGGGGCCGAGCTGCTCCGCAGCTCGGAGCAGGATCGTCTCGTGACCCACTGCTGTCACGATGTGGCCAGAGAAGTATCGATTTTCTCGTCGCGGCAGGAGGCCTTCATTGCCGGCGAGGGGTCGGTCGACCACGTCCCCCTTCCAGCACGTGGACCTTGGAGAGTTCCCCCCAGCGGAGGCCGACGGCCCGGGCCGCCCTCTGCAGGCGCGCGGCAGTCCTTCGGACGTGGGCGTCATGGCCGCCCCTGATTGCGGCGCTGATGCCGGCGCCTTTCCCAGGCGTTGGCGCGCTCGCGGTCACTCGTGCCTCAAAGCGCCTATCGAAGGTTCCGATGGAGCTCTCGGCGAATCTGTATTTTTTTTGGCACCAAGTGCGGATCCGTCGGCCACCCTGGAGAGAGGTGGGGTCGCAGTGCGCTCGCGTCGGATTGCCCTGACGCCCGCGCGGGCGGCCGCGAGCGGCAATTGGCTCGGATATTGCGCGGGAAGCACCCATCGCGTCACGATGGGCGCGTCGGCCTGGCGGCCTCCCTCCCAGACTCGAATAAAGAATAATTCGTGGCCACCAAGCTGGGGTTTCCAGAGGTTCCTCCTCTCGGCCCAGCCCCTCCCGTCGCTTCGGGAGGTCGGCCTGACCTTGTCCGAGGCCTCGCCCTGTCTGGCTTCTCTTCCCGCGCCGATGCCGTGAGCCTAGGGGCGCGGGTGCTTGAATGGAGGAAGCGGGCGTGCCTCTCGGACGGTTTTGAGGACGCGGGGGAGGGGTAGGTTTTGTTGATGTGTGATGCATGGTTTAATTGGTTTGCAGACTCTGTTGGTGGCGGTGCTCCTCCTCCTCCTCCTCCTCCTCCTCCTCATCATCATCCCGTATTTATTATCCTCATCCCGTCCTCCCTCCCCTCTTCCGCTGGGGAATGATCTGGGCTGGGAAGGGCTGGGGCTCCTACCCCTCCCCCCTAAGTGCCCACCCTTGCTCGGCAGAAAATGGGTGTGGGGTGCGCTGGGATTGGCCAGGGACGGGCTGCGGGCCTGGGCAGTGTTGGGTTGAGCTAGCTTTGTGGAGGACGATCAATGGAGAGGAAGCAGGTTGCCAAATAATTGCCAGATGTCTAAAACATGTGTCGCATATGCTTGAAACATGTAAAGCACATGTCTAAAACATGTTTAGGACATGTTTCCTACATGTTAAACACATTTTTAAATTCAATGATCGGATTGTTAGAGTGTCCACTGTCGTGGCATCCACAGATCTAGCCTCTCTTTCTCTCTGTCTCTCTCCCCTCCCCTCTTGACTGTCACTGCCTGGCCCGGCTTCTCATCCCGTACCGTGATTTCTTGAGCCTGAATTTCAAGGCGGATCCAGCCATGCACAGGAAGCCCCCCCCCCAGGAAGTTGGAGAACTTGTGAGGGAGTGGCGATCGAAATTTTCTCCTCTTCGCATCTCGATCCTGGACACCTGAAGCTCTCATGGGGTTTGTTTCGGCCGGAAGTTCAAGGCGAATCCAGCTGTGGCCACAAGGAAGCCCAGCATCACAACACCTCGACCTTCGAATCATCGGCCCATGATGTTCGAACATGCACGCTCCCTCTTCGAACTGCGATCCTCGACCCCTGGACCTCTTTTGGGGCTCGTTCACACCGGAATTCGGTCGGATCCAGCCGCGGCTACGAGGAAGCCCCACACAGGCCAGAATTTGCCCGAAGAGCTCGACAGGGCTGGACCTAAACGGTGTTTTGGCTGATTTCGTGGGCCGTTTTCGTTTCGACTTCGTTTTGCGGTAAAGGCGGATTCGAGACAAAAGCGAGGGAAGACGAAGACAAAACGGAAACGAAGAACACCGTTCAGGTTCAGCCCTGGAGCTCGATCCTCGAATTCTCGATGCTTGATCGTCGAACCTCCCGCCTCCCTCTTCTAGTCCTCCCTCTCGGCTCCTGGCCCTCCTCTGGCCTTCCCGTTCGGTCCGCTCGCTCCGCGCCCTCGGCCCCGGCGCGTCTGACGTGACAATGGGATCGACTACAGAATTCATATACCCCTTAATTTGCTTGCAAGTCGAAGCTTCAAGACAAATGCGTAGAACGTTTCTGCAGATCTGCGAGAGTTCCAGGAATTGTCCGCGGACACTCGACGAGAAGCATCGATTCTTCAACACAACTGCGTAGAACGTTTGCAGATCTGCGAAAGTTGTTGTCCGCGCATACTCGACGAGAAACATCGATTCTGGGGTAAATCCATTCTGTCGTCGATCCTTTGCTCGGGTTCCCTCGCCCCTCCTCCGCCCCTCGTTCGCTCGTTGGCCTTCCGGTGCGGATCCTCTGCTCTTCCGCACCTGCCTCCATGGAGGCAGCCTGATCCCTGGGCGTCCGACGATCTATCAGGAGGGAAAGAAACACACAGACACAATGAATCGTCGATTCCCCAGAAAATATGGGAAGTGTGGGGGAAGACAAAAACCCAGAAAATATGTGGAAATATAGGGAATCCTGTTATTCGTGTGTATTTATTATTTCTCTGTCCCAGGGCCCCTTCAATCTAGGCTTCCCAGATGGGGTCCGAGTAATTAGATAGGGGGTTCAGGATGGCGTCGCATCGCCGATGCATCGCCGATGCGGCTCGATGCGGAGCTCGATGTTCTCCACGCCGACACCGCTGATGCATCGCCGACGTCGCCAGTGCATCGCCAATGCATCGGCGATGCAGCGCGATCCTCCGATCCCATCTACTCCGACCCCATCTAGGAGGCCTCTCGACGATGCGGTCCCTTCAATACGAGGCCCCAGCTCCCTGCGGCAGGTGTTTTCGCTTCATATCCACATACGATGGCCCTGGGGCCAGATAAGGGGCCCCAGAGGCCGACGTGGAGGAAAAACACCCACCCAGACTGCACACAGTTAGGTCGTCGGAGATCATGAGATCTGGGCCCTTAATCCTTCCGGTCGAGAGCGTTTGCTGAGCGTATCGCTGGTTCTGGCCCACCATCTGGCGCGACACGCTAAGCGCGACCAAGTCCCTAAGCGTCAACGTCCCGAGCCTTTTCCGACCTTCCCTTCTCACCGCTTGCCGCCTTCAATTGGCGCTTGCGCTTGCTACTTTCACTTGCCTCGGCACTCTCTGTTCCTCCGTTCCTCCTCCCGTTTTCCGCTCCTCCTCCCCTCTTAGAGGAGGAGGAGGAGGAGGAGGAGGAGGAGGAGGAGGAGGAGGAGGAGAGGAGGAGGAGAGAGGAGGAGAGAGGAGGAGAGGAGGAGGGGGGAGGAGGGAGGAGGAGGAGGAGGAGGAGGAGGAGGAGGAGGAGGAGGAGGAGGAGGAGGAGGAGGAGGAGAAGTTGTGATCCTGTTCACGCGCGGGAGGGACTGTTGTGCACCGCTTCCTTGCCGCCCGCGTGGGCATTGGCAGAGCGAGCGAGCCCTCGGTCGAATGCGGCGCAGGTGGGCAACAGTCCCACCCTCCCGTCCCGCGAAGCCGAGCAGCACGCTCTCGGCTTGCAAGGCGTGGCGTATCGCAGACGCCGCTGCGGCAGGCCGTATGTCACCGCCCACGAAACCACCCCGACCCAACCCGAAGACCCCGATCTGCCCTCAGTTTCCAGTGTGGGGGGCTTCGGGGAACACTGAAAACACACATCTGAAGCCCGCACCCTCCCAACCCGAAATTCGGGCGAAACTCGGGTTTTCGGGTTGGGTGGTAGGTAGTCGGCAACCAAAAAGTCCCCGCCCGCTCCTCTCGGGCCGGACGAAAGCGGGGGGCATTGGGAAAAGGAGGGTTACGAAATCTGCTGCATGCAGCTGGTGTCGGCCCCCGCCGCCGGGCCCATGCCTCGATACATGGGCGCCTCTGGCGCCGAGAGGCGCCGGGAAAATCAGCTATACGTGAGCTGATTCTCGAACCCCCCCTTTGCTAACCCCCCCTTTCGCCAGGCCCGAAAAGTGCTCCTGGCCCAGCGTCCCGGCCTTCCCGGGGCATCCGCCTTGGAGGCTGAGTAATGTCGGCTCCGAGCGCGTTCCCCATACTCGCAAAGTGCCCACTCGCAAACGTCCGAAAATCACGTGTCCCTTTCGGTGTAATTTATCGCAGGTCCCCCGCGGCGGATCCAGGCCATTCGCCCCGCCCGCTCCTCGCAGGACAGGCGCCCGGCGCCGCCGGAGTCCGGCGACGCGTGCCGGGCGGCGCCGGCGGGCCTGCCGGCGGAGGCCCGCGCACGGCGGGCGGAGAGAGCGCCAGCGAGAGGAGTGGGCGGTTGGAGGGCGGGGCCTTGGAGGGGTCCGAGGAGGAGGAGGAGGCCCAGATCGGAGGAGGGGGCCCAGGTCGCAGGAGGAGGAGGCGGAGGGATGCGGAGGCCCGCAGAGACGGAGGGAGGAGGAGCGGCCGCGGAGGGAGGAGGAGGAGGAGGCCCAGAGCAGCGCTGGTCAGGCAGGGGTGAGGGGTCCTGACTTGCCCACAGGCCTTGGAGGGCCAAGTCTACCCTCATCCCTCTTCCCATCTCCCTCCTCCCCCTCCTCCCTCTGCCCATCCCGCGTCCTCATCGTCATCGTCTCCCGTAACATTTCGGCACACCACTCACAGGTTTCGTGGTCCCGCAGGGGGCTCCTCCGACGGCCCCAGCGGCACGGTTCGAATGCGTCCCCCCGCCCCGCTTCGCCACACCCCTCACACGCTTCCTGGCCCCATAGGGAGCTCTACCGAAGGCCCCAGGTTCCACGTGCGGCTCCGCCCACCGCACGTCCATGTCGGCACACCCCTCGGACGCTTCGTGGCCCCATAGGGAGCCTCGCTCGCCTTTGGGCGCCCCTTCCGCGCCCTCTGCTGGACGGGCCGAGGGGGCTGGGGGTGCCTGCGGTGGCAGGCACCCGTGCGATTGGTGGTTCGGTCACGGGCCTCTGCCGCCTCTTCTCTGCCCTCCGCTCCCGCTCGCTATGCCTCGCAAGAGCCGCAGAACTGTCCAAAACGTACTCGCAATTGCTCCTGGTTGGGTCTCTCGCCGGGCCTATCGCGCAGCCATCGTTCGAAGGAGAGAAAAGCGCTGTAAACATACGCTCTCGGAGGTCCGCGCTGATCTCTTGGATCTGCGCTCCCCCTCCCCCTGGCGCCGCCGCCGGCGCCGCCCCTGGCACGCTCCGCGCGCCAGGGAGGGGGGTCTAGCGCGGATCCCAGAAATCCGCGCGGAGCGTCGAAAGTTTGTGTTTGCAGTCGACCCGCATAGTAAGGATAGGCAACCTTCCCAAGGGCACCCGGTACCCTTGCATCCTCGCCCTTTCGGTCAGTCCTTGGCCACTTTCGCTGGCCGCGCCCCGCTCGAACAGCCTCGACGTGGGCGTCCAATGCCCCTGCATCCTTATCGCGCATCCTCATGACACGGGCTGGCTGTACGTAGTCTTGCGTCTTTCCGCCAGCGCAGTCACTCTGCCTAGCCGCCGACACAAAAGTTTGCAGTCGGCGTCAACCCAACATACTTACACTGTGTGTACGTCGCCCCTCCAGGAGCGACGCGCGCACCGAGAAATCTTCTAGTACATCCGTCGTGGCGGGCGCTTTCTGGCCACACCGCTCGGGAAACGATATACTAAAAGATGGGTACACTATATGTTCGGGTCGGACGCGCGCCTCCAAGGAGGACATCTAGTATTTGTATGTCGTTCGTTCTGCCAGCGCAGTCACTCTGCCTAGCCGCCGACGGAAGAGTTCGACTGGGGGATCGACTACAGAATTGATTTACCCCACAATTGATGTTCACGTCGACCCTTCAGCAAAAGTGCGTCAACCTCGTCGTAGATCTGCGAGAGTTCTCCACGATCTGCCCGTGGATCCGACGAGGAGGATCCATTCTGGGGCGAGTCCACTCTGTAGTCGATCCCCTGCAGTGCCTTTTTTTCCGCATGCTCCGCGTGCGGATCATGTGTTGCGAATCCTATTTAAAAAAAAAATCCCATGCATTAGAGAAACGGCACCCTGCTCGAAAAGTCTGCAGTGCCTTCGTCCTCTCGCCTCGGCGCGTCGCCGACGGTGGCCGGCGGCGGCGGCAGCGGGCCTCCGCGGAGGCCCCGCCGGCGGAGGAGGCGGCGGGCGGCGCGCAGGGGGGCGGCGGCGCCGAGGCGGCCAGAGGCGCCGGGGGCTGCCAGGGCCAGGAGGGAAGAAGCACACACACAGGCACAATGAATCGCAGATGCCCCAGGAAAGACATGGGAAAATAGTGGGCAGTGGGTGAGGAGGATGGCAAGAGAGAGGCCAGAAGATCGGGGAAAATGCGGGAGATCGTGTTATTCCCAGGGTCCCTTCACAGAGGTGCTCCTGGCCCAGCGTCCCCGGGGCAGAAGATGTGGGAGAATATGGGGGATCGTGTTATTCCCAGGGTCCCTCCACAGAGGTGCTCCTGGCCCAGCGTCCCCGGGGCCTTCCCAGGGCAGCCGATCTGGAAGCTGCGTAATTGGGGGGGGTCGGCCCCAGGCGCCCTGAAGCTGTGAGAAAAATCACGACGGGAGGTTTTTCCCCATATCCTAAGATGGGGTTCTTGTTATTACTTGGACGCCTCCTCCTTCTCCCTCTTCTCCTCCCCCTCTCCTCCTCATACCCAGCCAACCCGAAGGCTTCAATTTGCCTTCCATTTCCAGTGGGGGTGGGTGGGGAACATTGAAGAAACACATGTGGAACCCGTACCCCCCCCAACCCGAAATTCGGGTCTTCGGGTTGGGTTGGGGTGGTCTGGTATGTAGTCAGACTTACTCATACACAGACTGACTCACACTCAGACTTGCTCATACCCAGGCTCCCTGAAGTTGTGAAAAAATCACGACGGGAGGTTTTTCACTTTTTGTGGGTGGATCTCTCAATCTCTCCGCCGCCTCTGGCGGTGTGCGTTGCGAGCAGGAGCACAGCGAAGCCACAGGAAAGCGCGGCATTGACAGAGTAGCTCTGCGCACGTGGCAAATGTTAACGAGCAAGGCCACAGCAAAGCCCCGGACCGGGCACTTGGCGTTTCGGCCTCCGGGGGCCCTCGCCGGGCCGCGGGTCAAAAAACCAGCCGGGACGAAGAACCTGTCCTGGGGAAGGGGTCTGGACCTCCAGGGGTCGACGTTGTGCAAAGATCCCTGCGTCGGGCGTCTGGGATAGATAGGGGGGCAGCGAGGGCTGCCGGAAAGGGGCCCTCTGGGGCTCCTGAAAGGGGCCCTTCATGGCCCCAGAGAGGGCCTGCAGGGCCCGAGGGGCGCACCTTTCTGCCCCCCAGTAATCGGGGGCCCCCAAACGGTGACCACCCCGTGCGGTGAGTCGGTGGGGATTCGGGGTCACCGCACCGTTTTGGGGCTCGGGTCGTTCTCCGAGGATGTCTCGGGCGACAGGGGCCTCCGGGGTCCCAAGACCGTGCGGTGACGGACCGTGCGGTGAGGTCTTGGGTGATTTCGAGGTCACCGCACGGTCTGTCACCGCACCGTTTCGGGACTCTCAAATTACTTCGCGCCCAATCGACTCGAGCTGTAAATGACGGGGATCATTGCAAGCGGAGGTCACAGAGCCAGGGTTGCATTGACCCGGGCTCAGGCGCGCAGGAGCCTCCAGGAGCCTGCAGAACCCGATTGACCCGGGTTTGCACGGACCCGGGTCAGTAGATCCCCGACACGATTGTTCTTGGGCATGCCCCGGGCATCCGACGATTTAAGTAGTGACGAGGCATTTTGGCTTGCCTGTAGTCCCTCCAAATAGTGTTCTAAGATCCGCTGGTGGTTTGCACGCCGAGTTCTCCCAGCATTTCTGGCTGAGGCCGCCTTGTTTGAATCCATCGGCAGATTAATCTAAGAACATTGACTTTTGATCATTCGAACATGCCTTTGTTCGAAGAACATGCCGTGGTAGGCCTACACGCTATAGAAATGCCCAGACGGTCGGTCCCTGCTTCAACCATATGATGTTGCCAATGCTTGGCTCCAGAAGTTCCGACCCGCATCCATTTGCGATGGCCCAGGGGGCCCGGTACTGGGCTACTGATGCCGAGATCAAGAGAAATCGACGGGAGTGAAAAACGATTTTGTCGGAGATTCGGGCTTGTACGGGCCTCGTCAGAGGTGCTCCGAGGAGGCCGTGGGGGCCGCCTTGGAGATCCTGGGAGCACTTGTGGGGTCAGGGGCACGTTTGGCAACGCCCCGAGGCGTGCTGGACGAGGCGGAGGCGGTGGCCGACCGCGTGCTGGCGTTCCTGCGGGGCCGCGGCCCCGCGGGCGTGGAGGCTTTCTATTAGGGCGACGAGATCTATGCATATCCACTGCTCCTGGCCAGGCCAATCCTGGGCCCAGGAGCGGTGTATACGCCCTCCTGGCCTGGCCAGGGAGGCATATACACATCTCCTGGGCCCAGGATGGGCCTGGCCAGGAGCAGTGGATATGTATAGATCTCGTCGCCCTATCTATGTCGTCGTCTCCAGAGCTCTGGCGATGCAGTTTTTGTTCAGTCCCTGCGTTCTTCCACAGTTTCGACTCCAGGGCCGGAGTAGAGGGCCCAGTGGCCATCAGAAACGGACCCATTGCGGGAAATCGGCCCCGGGGGAGGGCTCGGGACCTCAGTGGGGCCGCGCATCGAAAAAGTCGCCTCGCTGGATGTCTGGGTCGTCGTCGTTGTAGTCGTCGTCGTCGTCGTCATTGTCGGCGGCGGCGGCCGTCGTCGACGTCGTCGTTTTCGCACGGGCGCCGACCGGTGGAGGGACTGGCCCAGAGGGGGGGAACATCGACCCCCGATCGCCCATTCATCGCCAGTCGGGGCGTGGCCCCCCCACTCAGTCTAGGAGCGTGCGGTCTCACTATCTGGGGCGTATCACTGATTTATCTGCGGTGTATCGTCGGTAGCTCATTGTCCCAGGTGCCAGCGCGATGCTACATTCATGCATCTCTGTCTGTTCATTGTTACATGCATGAATGGAAGTCGATCTGTGTATGCACCACGACATATACGTGTATGCATGTGTGTATATCCGAGTATAGGTTAGCCAGCATGGACCCCAAACAGTGTTTTTATAGGTTGTACAGTGAAAATGGTGCAGACCATGTTGTGCAAACTAGGTGGTGCAATATGCATGGTGCAATCCATGTTGTTTAAGATATGTTGTGTAATCTATGTGTTGCAATGTATACATATATATATATATGGTGTAATTCAGTTGTGGAACTCACGGTTGTCAGCTCCACTGCTCGCGCAATCATCCACCCCCCCCACTTGCAATTTGTCTTGAAACACTCGGACGGTGGCGATTGCCATGAGTGTTTGGTGTCGGCTGGTGCACCTCTGCGGCCGCGATAGCCCGAGCAAGCACATGCGCGCAATGGCCAGCTAGTTTGGCGCGACCGACGCGGCCGCGGTGGTGCTGACCGCTGGGCACATCCCAGCGGGCACTTCAGTGCGAGTCGGCGAAGTGGGCGGGCGCGGTATCATGGCAACGTCGACAACCGTTGACGCGATGATGATGATGATGATGATGATGATGATGATGATGATGATGATGATGATGATGATGATGATGGTGATGATGATGATGATAGCAGCGATGTTGGTGACGATGTTGACAACGACGACGGCACGGCCAGTGACGGTGCCGATGCTGATCACGCCGGCGACGATGACGGCGTTTTCGCGCTGGTGATGCAGATTTTGGAAGGAGTTCGACAAAACCGCGGCCGACGCGCGAGAGTGGCCCGCATTGTGTTCTTTGACACGGATCGTGCCCCCCACCCCCCCCGCACGTGCGGAAGGGCGTCCGGGTGATTTCGGCATGCGGCGCGAGTGGCCCGTTTGGCAAAACTCTATGGGAATGTTGAAAAAGCTTTGGTTGCATGAGGGGTTCGCAAGAACGCGAGCGCAGGCTTTTTCGAAAACGGATGTCGCGAAACCATAATTATGGTTTTATAGTGGTTCCGCACATTCGGTTTTGAAATCTTCACGAAACCTGAAGTTTTCATGGCCTGCTGCACGCGCGCGAGACGACGCGAGCTCGTCCACTTCGGTCTTTGTTTGCAACGGATCCTCGCGAAAGCACGCGCGCAACGGCGTTCGAACGATTCTGGCGCGCGAAGCCTTCTTGGCATGATTGGGGGGAAATTAATTGTACATTGCAATATGAAAGGGGGGCGGATAATCCCAGAGGGGGGTATAATCTAATTTCTTTTGAAACAAGAGAACCAAATTCTGTATGCAGTGAGTTGTCCACCCCCACTGCTCGCGCAATCATCCCACCCACCCACCCGCAACCTGGTTTACAAAACCCATGCGGCGGCGATTTCGCTGAGTTTTCGGCGTTGGCTGGTGTATCTCTGCAGCCGCGCTAGCCCGCGCATGTTCGCGCGCGCAGCGGCCATATAGTTAGGCGCTACCGATGCGGCCGCGGTGGTGCTGACCGCTGGGCACATCCCAGCGGGCATTTCAGTGCGAGTCGGCGAATTGGGCGGGCGCGGTATCATGGCAACGTCGACAACCGTAGACGCGATGATGATGATAGCGATGCTGGTGACGATGATGACAACGACGACGGCAAGGCCAGTGACGGCGCCGACGTTGATCACGCCGACGACGATGACGGCGCCCCTCGCGTCGGCGATGGAGGTTTTGGGGAGATTTCGACATGCGCGCGCGGCCGACGCGCGAAACTGGCCCGCATGGTGTTGTTTGACACGGATCGCGCTCCCCCCCCGAAGGACATGCTGGAAGGGCGTTCGGATGATTTCGATGTGCGGCGCGACGGGCCCGTCTGGCCGAATGTAATGAACATGTTGAGAACCGATGGTTTTCTTGAGCGTTTGCAGGGGCGCAAGTGCAGGCATTTTTGAAAACTGACGTTGCGAAAACCGTGTGTGTGTGCGTGTGTGTGTGTGTGTGTGTGTGTGTGTGTGTGTGTGTGTGTGTTTGTGTGTGTGTGTGCGTGTGTGTGTGTGTGTGTGTGTGTGTGCGCTTTATTTATTTATATATATATATATGTATGCTGGCGGAACAGGAGCGAGGCCGCCAGAAGTGGACCTGCGCCCCCCATGGGGGCTTGCTTTCCCCGTGTTTTTACAGAGCTTCGGCGTTCCAGGGCCTCCGAGGGAGGCCGCCAGGAGTGGACCTGCGCCCCCCATGGGGGCTCCGGGGCTTGCCTTCCCCGTGTTTTTACAGAGCTTCGGCGTTCCAGGGCCTCCGAGGCGCCAGCGGCGACCCCGGACATCTTGTTGACCTTCGGACGGAGGCCCAAAACCAGCCCCAGAGCACTCCAAGACGGCCCACGACGCCTCCTACACCGCACCAAAACGGCCCCAGAGAGCTCCAAGCGGCCCCCACGACGGCAGAGGCCCTCCGCATGCCCAGGCCGCCCAAGAGGCCCAAAAAGGCCCCGAGATACACCAAAGCATACCCCAAGAGGCTTGAACAACTGCGTCTCACCCTGCTTCTCGTCCGCCTTATTACCTTCCTGCTCCTCATTTATTATGGTTGTCCAGCTCTCTCCCAGTTTCAGGAAGTATAAACAGATTCCTGGAACTGCCAGGAACAGCATTCCTCAAGTGTTTTTTTTTGTTCTTCGTCGCCCTGCTCCATCGTCATTCCCTGATCATCCGCCTGCTGCGGCTGCTCTTCATGCTACTCCCGCACCTCCCCCTTCCCCTTTTCCCGCTCCCCTTCTCCACCTTCTCACCCACCTGCTTGTGGAGTTCTCTCCCGGTCTCTCGAAGTATGTTCCTGGAGCGCCTGCCGGGAACATAATTTCTTTGCTTGCGTTCGAGTGTTTCTTTTGTTATTCGCCACCCTGCCTCTTCGATTTTCTTCCCATGTCCTCCTCCTGCTGCGGCTGCTCAAAATGCTGCTCCTGCACCAGCCCCTGTCCTTCTTCTACCTCCTCCTGCTCCCCCTGAACCTCCCTTCCTCCCGCTCCCCTTCTTCTCCTCCTCACCCTCCTTCCCTTCCGCCTACTCCTTATGTCCTGCTTGTCCTGCTCCCCTCCCTCTTCCTGCCGCTCACCTTGTCCTGCGTGTCTGTTCTCCTCTTCCTTCTCATCCTCCTGCTCCTCCCCCTCCTCTTCCTCCTCCTCTTCCTTCTCGAGATTCCTCCTCCTGCTCTAGCCCTCCTCCTTCCTGTCCTCCTCCTCCTTCTCGGGCCCCTCCTCCTCCTGCTGTCACGGAATATGTTTTCGGGAAGCTTCCCGGGAATATAATTCCGCGTGCCTCCTTTTCTCCACCTCGCCGATATTATCCCCCTTCTCGCCCCCCTCCTCTTCTTTCTCGGGCCCCTCCTCCTCCTATCGCGCAATATGTTCCCAGGAAGACTCCGGGGAACGTACGTCCCATCCCCTTGCTCAAGCGCCTGATCCCTCCTGGGCGGCCCTTCCCCCATCCTACTCCTTCCTCTGATCCTCCTCCTCCTCTGGCTGCTCTTCCTCCTATTCCTGTTCCTCTCCCTCTTCTTCCTCCGCCTCCTCCTGCTTCCCCTCGACTTCCCCCCCTCTCGCCCTTGCTTCTGCCGTGTGTCCGACCTCGTCATTCCGCGGGCCGCGGGGCCGAAGAGTCTCGGAAGCCGATGGGTCGCGGGGTCGCGATTGAGGATCTTCGACCCTAGAGGTCAGGAGCGTCCAGGGACCGAAAGATTGGGAGGACTCCTGGGGCCGACTTCAAGGGTCGCGGGGCCTGCGGTCCCCAGAGATATCCGGACCGGGGAGGGCGCCCGGGTCGGGGGGCGCCCGGACCAGGGAAGGGGGGGGGAGGAGGAGGAAGGGCAGAGGACATTGAGGGGGAGGAGGAGGAGGGGGGGGGGAAAGGAGGAGAGGGAAGAGGAGGAGGAGAAGAACGTGTAGGAGGAGCAGAAGCAAATGAGGAAGGAGGAGGAGGTGGTGGAGGAGAAGGGAGGGAACTAAGGAAACGGAGGAAAGAGACAGGCGAGGAAGGGGAGGAGGAAGAGGGCGAAGGAGGAGGAAGAAGAGAACAAGGAGGAGGAGAAGGAGGAGAGGAGGAGGAGGGGGAGGACGGACAGATACATGTATGTATATATATATATATGTGTGTGTATGTATCTATATACACATGAGAAAAGGCCTGCCTTGATACTTCTGCCAGGGCCTTGCCGTGATCTCGGCTAGAACCAAAGCGCGCGAAGCGCGCGCGATAGTTCTAGCATGCATATATATATATATATACAACCCGACGGAAGGACCCCACATGATCATCTGTTTAGCTTGCCCTTATCCGTTTCCTCTTGGTTATGGCGAACGCCCTCCTCCCG